CTAGCGGCAAAGTTAGACCGTTCTAAAGTGCGAAAAAAAAACACAATTCACCCTTGACATGGTCACCACCAAATTATGTCTTGCAGTTCACAGCGGATTTCTCTCATTTTTACTTTATTTGAAAGCTTCTCTCCTGCAGATTCAGAAAAGTGGCGTCAAACTTAAATTAGCAAATTTTACTTTAGATTAAAATAAAAACAAGAATCCAGAATGCTCTTTCTCAAAAAGTGACATTTTAAATTTCCTAAAAAAAAAATATTTTTTAGAGAAATAAATTTACACAAAATATAAAAATCACAAGGTGGTATCTTTCCGGAATCAAGAGTTACGGTAAGATTAGTAACAGTAGACTGCAAAAAACCCTTAATTACAGCAGCATTTTGACGCTTTTGCAAACCTCAGAAGCTTTGTTTCCACTAAATTTTTATTCGTTTTTGTAGTATATATAGTTTCTGGAAAATTTTTTCAACTCTACTACCCCAGTAACTAACAATTAGTTGAAACTTATTTACTTTTAAACAATTTCACAAAATTTTTTCAGAAAAAATTACTTTTATGACTATTTTTTCAGTTTACATGGCTCTGCTTGCTTATTGAACTCTTCTAACCCAAATATTTCACACTCGGTATTGTTTTTTGACTGCGAGTATTGTTTTGGTGTTTTTGCTGTCAACGTTTTGTAGTATAATGCAATGAATTTTTTTATTTGTTTCACTGATGGACGTACTCAAAAACGCAATGCTGGAAGTGCTTCTCTCCTTTAATATTTTTATGAAGGTAATGAGATTACTGTATTTCTTTTCTTTACTTTGGAGCCTATTTGTAAAGGTTATTTTGAGTTAGGATTTAGACTGAAAGTTTCTTTTTTATGCTGGCCATCGTTGCTAATCTTCTCAATATGCCTTCAAGTTTCAAATTTATGCACTGTCGCAACAACAGAAGGACAACATTGCTTGCAATGATTTTATTTCTTTCAGAAAAATATGAAAGAAAATTAGCACTTCTAGTATCACGCTTTTGAGTACGTCTATCAGTGAAGCATATAAAAAAGTTCATTGCATTATACTACAAAACGTTGACAGCAAAAACAGCAAAACAATACTCTCATTCAAAAAACAATACCGAGTGTGAAATATTTGGGTAAGAAGGGTTCAATAAGCAAGCAGAGCCATATAAACCGAAAAAAATAGTCATAACAGTATAGGAGAGTTGAAAAGTTTTATAAGAATTATATATATTACAAAAACAAATAAAATTTAGTGGAAACAGAGCTTCTGAGGCTTGCAAAAGCGCCAAAATGCTGCTTCAATCAAGGGTTTTTTGCAGTCTATTGTCAATAATCTTACCGTAACTCTTGATTCCGTAAAGATACCACCTTGTGACTTTTATATTTTGTGTAAAAATTTTTTGTCTAAAAAATATGTTTGCTTTTAAAAAATTTAAAACGTCGCTTTTTGAAAAAAGAAACGTTCTGAATTTTTGCTTTATTTTAATCTAAAATAAAATTTTCTAATTTAGGTGTGTCACTACTTTTCTGAATCTGCAGGAAAAAAGCTTAGCTTTCAAAGAAGTAAAAGTTTTTTTCTGCACTTTAGAATGGTCTAACTTTGCCGCCAGCGCACTTTTTGAGGTAAACTCTTTCAATTTCGAAATCCGGTATCGAGTGCTACAAGTTGGCAAAAGATGAAAAAGATCTGAGAGGTCGAGGTTCAAACTTGTGCGATTTGGCGTGGAATGGCCCATATATATGAACCAATTTTTTTCAGTAATTTCTGTCCATACGTGCGCATTCTTTCAGAAAAGCTGAACAGTATATGAAGTATGCTAAGGAGCTGCGCGAAGCGATAGAGATGGTAATGTGGAACAGTACAGACGGTGTTTGGTACGACTACGATTCTGAAGAGAAGACGCATAGACGAAGATTTTATCCTAGCAACGTATATCCTCTAATTTTCGGTGACTCAAGCAAAAAAGTCACTAAAAGAGTACTTGCTTATTTAAAAAGAATGGATGTTTTAAAGTACCCAGGTAATTCTTATTGAGCAGCATTTTTTACTAATTCTGGTTATTGTAGGTCAGAAGTAAAACTGAGGGTGAAATGTCATAATCAGTTTAATCCTAGCGTCATTGACTAAGGATTTTTAGGTGGTATTCCAGCAACTCTAGAAGGTTCTTCACATGAACAATGGGATTTTCCTAATGTCTGGGGTCCCTCTGTTCATCTCTTCGTTGAAAGTCTTCGCAAGTCTGGTGATCCGGAACTTTATAACATTTCAAAAAAAGTTGCTGACGGGTTTATACGTACGGTTTACAACGGCTTGATGAATCCAAGTCCTCAATGGGTTTGCTAATTTGGTTTTTTTGTCTATACAGTGAGCGCTGGTTGCAAACAGTTTTTGAAACTTTTGTCAACCAGATTACTGTTAGCTACTGATATTGTGAAATTGCGTCAAGTGCCTACGAAGGAGTGATTACAGCCAGCAGCCTGTTGGGAAAAATACGATGCTCGGTTTGACGATGGTAGACCAGGAATTGGAGGAGAATATCCAGTACAGCAGGGGTTTGGATGGACAAATGGAGCTGTACTTGATTTAATATACAGGTTTTATATTGAACCACAAGAACGAAAATTTGGAGCAGGTAAGTTGGCAAGTGCGTAATGTAAAAAAAACAATAAGTTTTGTTTCGGAGAATGGGAGTAAATTGATAATAGGTTTTGAGCAAGCTTTTTAGTGAACGAATAATTAACTTGATACTGTTGATGTTAAAGACGCTCTCAATTGAAGATTATCTATCTGTCTTTATAGAAAACATTGATCAGTTAGTATTGTAATCTGACAGAAACATCTGATGAAATGACTTCAAAAGTTGAGTGATAATTTTGTTGTAACTATTTACAGATGTAGGAGGAAACCACTGATCTTAATGATTAAACTATAGTATTTTTATTGAATCTCTATTTACTACCTTAAATGATTCTTAATAAACAGCAATATTTTGAACGTTATTAATCAAAGTTGTAAGTTATTATATTTATCACTAATAAAAAATTTACAGTTAGCAGTTATTATTTGCAATGTCAAATTGATTTAGAATTAGTCAATATAAAAATTTTTACTTCATTTGCTTAATTTTATAGTAGGTTTCAGGAATGATTTTATTTGAGAGATATTAGTGTTGTAATTAGCGTTTAGTCGATCTGTACCACTTGTCTAATGGAACTGAACTTAAAGCAAGTTTTAGGGCAGGGGCTAATCTTGTCAAAATTTAAACACAGTTTGTATGTTTAAATTTCAGTTCGGTTATATGCTAATAACGTTCATTCTAATCGGCGGCTGTATATCTTCTACCTACTCATTCCAACATCTTTACTTATAGTTGCATGGTAAAGCGGCTCAAAAGTTTCCTTGTTTTGTCTGCACTTTTGAATCTTGTAACAGTTTGCTTTCTTTTTTGTTAAAGTCAATAGAGTATTTGTTGTTCTTTTTTTGAAGGCTTACCTGCCAAGTGCAGAAAAGTCAAGTTAATCATAATCGGACACAAATCTTCGATATTATTGGGAAACCAGAAGAAAGTTATCTGATTGCCGATTCGGACACCGAATAGTTTCGTTATGTTATTTTTTTCCGGTTTATCGGGTATATTTAAAATGATGCTGATTCAATTGGCCGTGCAATGGAGAAAAACAAGTGGAATTTGTTGCATGACTAATACCTCTGTGTTTATAAATACGTTATTTGCTTACTAAATGAGGCAGCAGTTACAGGAAAGAAGCAAATGAGTCATTGAAGAATATTCATTTCTTGATTTAGGTAGAAGAAATTTTTGTACTGAGTCTACTTAGTTTTTTGCTAGTCATTGTTTATGAAGATCTCTTTTTTAAATAACTTCAAAACGTTTTACTGTACGAAACAACTGTTTTTTTTTTGTACTTATGTATTACTGTTGAAGTATACTGGAGCTTTCTTTAAGCTTTCTATAAGCTTTCTTTCTTCCCTTTCTTTTTTTTTTTTTGCGAGTAACTAGAGGCAATAAGCGGTGACATAAGTAGTGAAAGTTGATTATCAGAAAAGTAAAGAATACGTTTTTACTGTTTTTTTTCACTTAATTTTCCAAATCTAATCGAACTTTAGTCAGTATTAACAATTGCTTCGTATCTCGTAAGTGTCAATGTCGATAGTACTGCAAACGGTAAGAGCAGTGTTAAAAAAGTGTTAACTGTACGGGTCTAATATTGTTTGGAATGGTTGTCTAGTCCTTGTATTTGTTCATATAATAATCTTTTTTTCGTGAAATATTATTTGTAAATATTTTCGAGTGTTTTAAAATTAATGAAGCACACTTGAAACGAAGGCGATGTACCTTGTACAACCGAAAACTGTCTAAACATTCTCAACTAAGTAATTTGAGCCCGGTTCATTTTGCTGCTCAAGATTTGTCCTAGTCTAAAAGCATTGTTATAATTTCTGGTAGACTGAAGCTAGTGTTTGATGTCTCCCTTATGTCTTCATGATATCGTTTTTCAAAGCAGTATTAGGATTGTTCAGCTACTGCATACACTTGCTGAAATGCTTTACTTTGTGTGACGATCAAAATAAGTTTTAGTTTCCATTATCTTGTGAAGATCTATCGCATCTACCGGTATAATATAATATAAATTTATATGATTTTTTTTGCTTCTTCTTTAGTCATAGTCTTTAAAATGTGAACACTCAAAGCTTGGTTCCGGATTGTCTCAAACAGTCTGGTTTAGAATTATACGTGTATTTCGTTTATGAAGTGAGTATTTTCGGAAAGGTACCTAATACACTGGCCAAATAAAGGAACAAGAATTTTTTTAAACAGATATTGCACCTGAAGGAAAGTGTTGATATATTCTAATACTTTTACTTTCGACTAGCGCTTTCGCCGAGTTAAATGA